TCCAGAGTGGGTGGGTGGGTAAACAGAAATTTGCAAGGCTACAATGTCGGGTGGGTATCTATATGTAGTTATTAGCTGAGGCTTTCTTAAAAACCATTACTCTTCTCTCTGAAATAGTTCTTTGATAGTTTTGATTTAACATTACTGATTATTCTGGCCTTGGCCTTCAGATCACTTTGACTATTATCAGATGTCTTTCATTAGTAACATAGTAGTTTAAAATAAAATTGATGCATAAAATGTATTGTAATGAGATGCAAACTTCAGTAACTTTAAGGAATGATATAAATATGTGCATCCAGTACTGCTTTCAGGGATATTTGCAGTCATTATGTTAGGTGAGAACTTTATAATACTGTGGGTGTCCTGCATGATAGTGGCGGTTCTACCAGAGTATATAATTTTGTTGTTTTAAAGAGTATTTTTTCTAAATAGCCTGATTCTGTAATGTGATTTCATTGGAATTGAGCTTGATTTACTTTAATGTATATTAGAGTAGAATCAGGCCCAGGGGATGTTAAGAGAAATAAGTATTCTTAGGCTGTATCCTACAAAGACTTAGACATATGTTTAACTTTATGCATTGTGCATAGTCCCATTGACTTTAGGGGGACTACTTGGTGTGTAAAGTTAAATATATATGTCTTTGCAGGACTGGAGCCTTGGGCTGCTGTGTCTTCTAACTTATATTAATAAAACAGCCTCCTTTGGTGACCACTTTTTTTTGTAAGTGGGTTTAGGAGGAAAGAAGTAAAAATTATACTCCAAATTTGAGAACAGAAGAAAGATCATGTTTGGATTTTTTTGTTTATGAAATCTGTGTCCAAGAAAGTAATTTATTAAATATGGAGAAGGCACTGGACACATGTGCAGGCTCTGAACTTAAAAAGAAAGTGCACTCTTCTGGCATTAATTTTAGTGAGGACTCTTACTTATGGTTTGTGCTTAAAGATCTAGTTTTCTTTGGGGCATTTTTTAAAAAATGCAGCTGTGACAGTTTTCCATTTTCTTAACATGTTTGTTTTTTCTTTGTAGTGTTGTGAAGTAATCGCCCAGTACTAAATGTATTAAAATTGAGGTTAGAAAAATTGCCTTATTAATGTGCATAAATACAAATCCAATGTCTGATTTGTATCAGTGCCTGGCTACACAATCAGTTTGGTAATATTAACCATGTATTCAATATATCTGAGGTTGTACAGGGTGAGTGATGCAACCTGACATGCTGTGGTAGAATAGTACAACAGAATGACAACTGGAAAATTGCAAACTAATTAATAATCACAAAAGTTTTTAAATTTTATTTTTAAAGCACATGCACGTGGTGCCCTTTGGGCACCCATGTCTGAAAATTTTCCTTGATATTTTTTGCAAATCTGTTGCTAGCTGACATTATTGGTTAATTTGTATTTGACTCTACTTTTGAGTGGGGAAGAAAATAAACTAATGATACTTCATTGGAGCAGAAGGACATATTTATGACACGTGCAGTAAAAGTTTGATAAAATATGTAAAATCTTTGCCAAAATGTTTAAAACCGTTAGGAGAAATAAATGAGTGTCTCCAGAAAAACATAAACAAACAATAAAAGATGTTGTAAACAGTGGGTACTAACAGGAAAAATAAGGGTTACTATTTACCAGTATCTTTTTCACGTTTGTTGAACTGCAATAAAAGACACAAGTACATGATAGTGCTGTTTTGGAACATGCATTAAAGCTCCAGTGGATTTACTAGCAGAAAACTTAAAGCTTTTAACATTCTTCGCCTCATGGAGAGTTACCTCATATTATCCTCTGGATTTACTTTTTTATTGTTTAGGTTCACTAAATTGGGGCTGAGGGTTAGAAAAATATGTAAAATGAAATTTGTGCGTAATAAACCATCACCGATAATTGAAGAGAACACTGTTTCATTTATTTAGGGGCTTCCAATATGCCTTTGCAAACCCTTGAAATATAATTGCAGGAATCCTTCAATTACTGCATGACTGTTACTGAGGGAGAAATCTGGAAAGTGTCTCCCATTAATTCTGATTTTGACAGAGGCAGTAATCAAGTCTGCTCAATGTAATGAAACTGACCAGAGTCTGAGAGAGTGCATTTGCTGCTTGCATTTTCCTTCACTGAATATTAACATTGTTTCTAAATCTTGCACTCTAGCAAGTGACCCTGACACAATGTAAGTTTTGACATGCTCTGTACAAAAGAGCAAGATACTACATCAACAGAGACAGTTCTAGGAGAAAATATCCTTGGTTTCTTGGGCAGTGCATATCACAGAAAACCATATATGTTAGATGCGAAGCAGACTGATTCCAGAAGAGCAGAATGTCTTTGCAGCTCCCTGGGAATTCTGGGATCACTTTGGGTGGGGACGGAGAGCCTGGAGCACTCACGTAAATAAACTTCCCCATCCTCATAATTATCTATACTGTACCTGTACCCCTCTACCCATGTGTAATCTGCAGCACTTCCTACAACCTTAGGGTTGGATTAATTCCCATCATGGGCCCACTGTCTCCCAAGCTCCAATCATCCAAAGCATTTTAATTTAACTATAATAACTTTAATTAAATCAGAAGGACAAGTAACATGGAAATGACGTACCAGCAAAATAATCAAGTTAGCACAGTCCTTATTTAAAAGCTACATCCTGCCCCACTGGAAGAGGAAGATTGTGTTATCAGAGAAAGCAGAGTTCTCTCACCCGTAGGGGGTTCCTCCAACTCAGGATTGAAGCACATTGGCAGAGAATGGTGAAGAAGCTTGCACTGATGCAACTCCTGATGTACCTGCTCTGTGGGCAAATGGAGGACATGTATATCATCAGAGCTGGCAATTCAGTAAACTTCACAAATACTAGATTAACTTATTTTTAAAAATATGTTGGATCCTTGTATTCAGAGTTCTTTTATTAGGGGGTAGCCATGTTAGTATCCACAAAAACAACAAGGAGTCCCATGGCACCTTCAAGAATAACAGATTTATTTGGGCATAAGCTTTTGTGGGTAAAATACTGCTGTCTCTTTTAAGCATGTTATTAAAGATAGTGGTTTGGACAAACAAATTTGAGAATGAAATCCATCCTGCCAACTGAAACACACACAAGAAACATTACCTATGGAGAACACAAGAACGGTCCATCTAGCTTAGAATCCTGGCATCCTGGGGCCAAAGCCAGATGTTTCGTCTAGTCACAGCATCTGGCAGTCAGAGGCTTAGGAACATCCAGAACATGGGGTTGAATCTCTGACCATCTTGGCTAATAGCTACTAATGGACCTATCCTCCATGAACTCATCTAATTCTTTTTTGAATCTAGTTATACTGTTGGCCTTCACAATACCCTTGCAACAAGTTCCACAGGTTGACTGTGAGTTGTATGAAGTACTTCCTTAGGTTTGTTTTAAACCTCCTGCCTTGTACTTTCATCTGGTGACACCTAGTTCTTGTCTTGTGTGAAGGGGGTAAATAATGCTTCCTTTATTCACTTTCTCCACACCCCTCATGATTTTATAGACCTCTATCATATTCTCACCTCCCCCCCCCCCGTTGTCTCTTTCCCAGACTGAACAGTCCCAGCCTTTTTACTCTCTGCATATGGAAACTGTTTCATACCCCTAATCATTTTTTTTGCTCTTTTCCGTACCTCTTCCAAGTCTAATGTATCTTTTTTGAGAGGGAGCGACCAAAACTGTTCACAGTTCTGAAGGTATGGGTGTAATATGGATTTATACAGTGACATATTATCAGTCGTCTTATGTATCCCTTTCCTAATGGTTCCTAACATTCTGTTAGCTTTTTTGATTGCCAGTGCACATTGAGGAAAGAGAACTAGCCACAATGACTCCAAGATCTTTCTTGACTGATAACAGCTAATTTAGACCCCCATTATTTTGTATGTGTAGCTGAGATTGTTTTCCAGTGTGCTTTACTTTGCATTTATCAACATTCAATTTCATCTGCCATTTTGTTATTGCTGAACTATTGTAAATTAAGGGTATGATTCAGGAGAAGCACTTAAGCACATGCTTAACTTTAACCCTGTGTTTAAGTCCCATTGAAGTTCAAAAGGATATCAGTATGTGCGTAAGAGAGGTGCTTGAATAGAGATGCTTTTCTTATTCAGGATCGGTATGAATCTTTTTTTTTTTTTAAAGTCTCATTTGTGCATGTAATGGTGGCTGCATGGAGTAACTATGATAGTGCATGCAAATACTGATATAGGCTTCTAAGGGTATGTCTACACCCAGCCGCTAATTCGGCGGCTGACAATCGAAGTTCTGGGTTTGACTTAGCGCGTCTTGTCTGGACGCGATAAGTCGAACCAGGAAGTGCTCGCCGTCGACTGCGGTACTCCAGCTAGACAAGAGGAGTACCGCGGAGTCGACGGAGGAGCCTGCCTGCCGCGTGTGGACTGAGGTAAGTTCGAACTAAGGTACTTCGAACTTCAGCTACGTTATTCACGTAGCTGAAGTTGCGTACCTTAGTTCGATTTGGGGGTTTAGTGTAGACCAAGCCTAAGAGCCAAATTTTGCCTTCCTTATTATTACTGAATAATCCCTTATTATGCAATTAGTCACATTGATTATGCTTAGTAAGACACTATTTGTTGTGAATAAGGATGGCAAAATTGGGCCCTAAATGGGGGTAACTGCAGTGCAGGCCATTTCTCTACCCTTTTAACTGAATTTGGAAGGGTTCATGCAGCTCTAATGAGAAGACGCTTACTTACTACAGCTATTGTCATGGAACATTTCAGCAAGAAGAAAACTAGCCTTTTCTGTAGCTCACCCTGAATGCCCAGCCCTCTGAGGAGTGCATGAGACCCTGCTCTTAGCAAAATTAAACGTTTTGGGATTGAATCCTGGACAGAAATTAGCTGATCAGGAAGCAATAATTAACAAGAGAGTTCAGATGCACCAGTATCTTTCCAGGCTGTTTTTAGGTTTAGTATTTTAGTGATGCTTTTTATGGCTCTATTTTCCATTCTATGTAGACACCTCTTTATGTTGTCAACCATGGGGAGACTGGGCCAATTCGATGCAACAGATGCAAAGCCTATATGTGTCCCTTCATGCAGTTCATTGAAGGGGGAAGAAAGTATCAATGTGGATTTTGCAACTGCATAAATGATGGTAAGTGACATTTATCTACTATTTGTGTATATTATTCGTTCATTAATGCTAACTGGAAATTGCATCTGTAGTATTATTTTCTTGATTTACTTACTTGGAGTGAAATCCTGGCCCCATCAAAATGAATGGGAGTTTTTACCATGCATCTCTATAGGGCAGTCAGTACTTCATCTATGGAGTCTTTTTGGCATGTTATTCACTATGATCCAAATTCTCTATTTCTAGTCTGCCTGAATAAGTATTTAACTTTTGAAAACATTTATCGGTCAGTTTCTCAGCTTTTGCAAATCAGCTTGGTTCTGTTGAAATCAGGGAAGCTGCTCTGATTTTCACAGAGGATTGAGCCCTTGTGTCTCATATCAATAGAAAAGATTTCAGGAAATATAATTGAACAGTTTTGAAGAAATAGCAGTAATTGAATATACTACATTACAAAAAATAAAGTTCAGTAGAGTTCTTCTGGTGACACCTTCACTCTTCTGTTTCTTTTTATGGAGGTAAAAATATGGAATTGGATTTCTTCATTATCACTTTAAACTGAGAATAACAGCTCTTAAACTGGTGCTGGTGAGACAGAACATTGCAACAATTAAAACACACGTTCTTTAATGGTGTGGCCCTGAAATGGGTAGAAAGAATAACTGGGTCTTGTATTTCTGTTATGGCCCTTTTGCTCCACTCCACAAAGGCAATACAACCACAACTGGAAGATGATGTTTTTGACAATATCCTCTCATATGATGGGCCTTCAACTAGTTGTTCTGCATATGAAAATTATTAGTGAGATGTACCCAATAAGATTCCATAAGAATTATTTTTTAAATAGTTTACTAAGAAAATATGCAGAAACTCTTTGGTCAAATCCACTTTTAAAAAGAAATGTACTGTAACAAAATACAGCCGCGCAAAACAGGGAAATCCAGTCTGTAGCTTCATCAAAAGTTTTCTTTTTAAAATGTTTTGTCAACACAGGATATGTTTTTGCTCTATTCCAAACTGCTAGCTAGAATTTCAAATGAAAATAAATTTATTTAAAAATGCTTAAGTGCCTGGCAAAGAACAAATGCTTAGAACAACGTAAGAATAGTCATGTCTGTGACCATGCATTTAATAGTTAAATCACCTATTAATCTTACTGTGACAAGGCTTGGTTTTCACAGAAGATACCATGCCATATTTGTTCAAGTGTGCTGCATGTGACTCATAAGTAAGCGTTCTTTTGCTTTTGGCTGGATCCCAAGTCTTTGCCAGAACTAGTCTTTCTAGACGTTTGTATCAAGTTGGATTTCCTCAGCAGGATCACAGTGGTATAGTGCTTTCCCTAATACAGTAATCTTTTCAACTCTGAAACATGAACCTTGAAAGATTCATGCCAACTCTTTTTTGGCTTGAAGCTCAATCTTTTGGGCAAAGTATAGCAGATAGCAAGTTGTATTGTTTGTTCAATTTAAATTCTCATAAACACATACTGTGTTCATTATAAACAGTGTAAATATCGTCAAGTATTCATTAGAATATCAGTTTAAAGCATACTTTGTACTTTTACGGTGCCTTTCAACCAAGAGTCTTAAAGCTCTTTACAACTTTTAATTGAGCCTCAAAACTCCCTGGTGAGGTAGGTAAGCATTATCCCCATTTTACAGGGGGGAAAACTGAGATGTAAAAAGCTTAAGTGAAGGTATCTGAGAAGGAATTGGCGAAGGGTTGCTGCCTTCTCTTGTTATGAAAATTAGACAAGAAATGTTTTTGCCATCCTCTAGTTTAGATGCAACTATTTAATTTTCTTAGGACTCATTTCCTAAGGTTGTCAAGAATCCTGCAGTGTAATCGGTCATTCGCTTTTAGTTGTGAAGTCCTGCACCTCTCCTCTGATTGCAGAATGCTCCCGACACAGTGGAACAGAACAGAAGGCCAGGATTTGTAAACCCTATTAGAGCTACCTTCTATGAGGCAGAACTTGTGGGTGGAGTGGGGCTGGCTGGTGGAGAGGTGGTGCTGCTGACTTTGATTCTATAGATCTATTGGCATCCATCACTGGGACTATGACAGCTTCAGGTTTGCAGTAGCAAGCCTGGAGTAGTCCTGCTGTCCCTGCATCCTTTGAAAGGCAGATTCTTCTCCCCAGCCTGTACCATCCCCAACTACTCAAGCTTGTGCAGGATGAGTGTGGAAGATTCGAGTGTTCATGAGGGAAAAGATCCAGTGCTTCAAACACAGTAGTAGCACATGTGACAATAAGCACAAAATAATTTTTTTCTTTTTAAAACTGCGCTGTTTCTGCATAAAATTAGTTGCCCTGCTAAGCATTTGCACTCCTTCCTCAAGTCATGAAATGGGAGGTTGCATTGGTTCCGTGTTGTTTATTAAAAGAAGAAAAATTAGTTTTACTGTTTTGTTTCTTTAGTCCCTCCATTCTTCTTTCAACATCTGGACCACATTGGCAGAAGAACAGACCACTACGAGAGGCCAGAGTTATCTCTAGGATCATATGAATATGTCGCTACATTGGATTATTGCAGAGTAAGTATTTCCAGCACAGAAAACTGTTTACAAATTTATGTCAAAACAAACTGAATCTTTTAAATACCTAAAGCAGAACAAAGGCTTTTTCTAGTTCACACCAGAAGTTCAGAAGTCTATGAACATTTTCAAAATTGTAGCTGGAAGCATAGAATGATGTATCAAAACTACCTCCCCCCTCCCACTCCCATTAACATTGTTGCTCATGGTTCCTGTTATAACAATTGTTGAATTCTGACTGTCAGATAAGAATTACAAGGCATTGCAGCAAAGTATGTGGATCCACTAAGTTTCACCAGGGGCCTTGATTTGGTCCTAACTACATGGCATTGTTCTAGAGGCTACAGTTGAAATTTTCAAAGCAGTGTCATGTGTTAGTTACATGTCTTCTGTTAATTTTAAAGGCAGATGTGTGGCTAAATCTCATTCTCTGCTTTGAAAATCTCAGCCTAAGAATTTGACCTACCAGTTTTCCCAAAAATGAAAAGTTGCTTGTTTGACCACTGTTAGCTGTAGAAGTATGATTTGATCTTCGTATTATGAACTCACTGAGGGCCTGATCCAAAACCCATTGAAGTGAATGGAAGTCTTTCCCGTGATTCCGGTGTACTTTGGGAAAGGCCCTTAAACTGTAGGTGGGGAGTGGGGGAATTAAGAGAATTCCCAATAGAGCTTGATCAGTTCAGCATGGTTAATTGTAAAAATAAATCATAATGGTTGTGGGTGACTTAGAGATCTGAGCTTCGGGTTCGAAACAGACTACCTGGAGCTCCCATTTCATAACCCAGCAGGGTCACATAAGCCCTTTACATTTCTACGGTTGATAAACTGAGTTTTCTCTGTTCTTTGTAGATGCGAATGATCCCCTGGTACTTTTGGTAAGAGTAATGGTTTGCCTAATGTTCTTGGCTAAACATACACTTCCCATCCCTACTTGTGTGCACACAGGTTGCTGTGCACAGCATGTCTGCCTGGCTGCCTTCCTACCCCAGAGGTGGCTTCAAATTGTGAACCTGTCCTTACCAGGAGTTCACTTTTTAAAACAATTGCAGACCCGTGTTGTGCTTATCTGTAGAAGCAGTTGAGCTCAGTCAGATGTCTAAGCACATTATTGTTCTTAGAGCTCAGATATCTAAACACCTTAAATGGAGGAAAAGATTTCAAAATCCAGCCTTTTGTTAACTTAAACCATGTACAGCACTAGTTTAACCTTTTAGATTTTTCTGTCTTCTTCTGTGAGGAGGTCAGTAATAGCTGATCAAACTCCTTATCCATGTTAGAAATCTGGCCAAAAACTAATCTAAGCTTAATCCAGAAAAGTGTTGATAAAAATAAAGTGTAGGTACATGTTAAGTCTCTTATAAAATCAAGAGATATTTGAAATGCATTTCCCCACCACCACCTCCAGGGAGACTGATAAAGTAAATAGCTTTCTCAAATTAACATTAAATAGCAGACAACATCTCTGAAGACAGATTGGGCTGGTATTTGATCGTGGTTCCTGTTAATAGTAAACTGGTGACAATTAGTGCCTGAGCAGTGATGGAGTGTTTCCACTCACAGAAAACATGTGTGGCTATTTATATTAGTTTCATAAAGAATTCTTTTCCTAAGGGCCCTAATCCTGCAAGGAGAAGTGTGTGGTTGGATCCCTGTGTCCACGTGGAGCCCTATGGGATTCAGGAGGGCTCAGTCCAGGTGGAGGGATCTGTCTTGGTGGTTCTAGTGCACAATCAAAAAATGGCTTATTTTGGGTATGTGCTAGATTTGTTCGAACATGCGTGCCACGCACATAAAATTATTTGAGAGAACTTGCTGGTATTTTCCCAAATATGAAGTATTTAAATCCTTGTTTGAACATACCTTTGCTCACTTTTAGCTTAATTCACAGTATGTCAAGTGTGATCTTCTCTGTCCATCCACATTCAGTTCTCATCGTAGACCAACAAAACTCCTATTAGCTCCGGTGGAAGGAAGATCAAAGTCATGATAAGCTTAAGAATTTGTTCTGTGGCTGCATGGTCTTGAATGCCCTTAACTTCCATTGAAGTCAGGGATTTGGCTTCAGAACATCAACTTATTGCTAAGTTTTTAGTAAGCATGTATTTATGTTGTTAGTAAACTTGAGGAACTCAGCAAGCTGATTAGTTGACCCCATAGTTCACTGGGGGCCTGATTCAAAGATCATTGAAATGATTGGGAACCTTTTCATTGACTTCACTGGGATCTGGATCAGGTCTGAGATCTGAAATGAGCTCAAGTAGGGAAAATAAATAAATATATAGATATATATATATTCATATTCATTCCATTTACTGTAGCTGAGGTTCCTGCACTATATAGATATGTAGGGGGGGGGGGAATAGGAATATAGTACAGGAACCATAGCTACAGTAAATGGATGTAGCTCCATCAGTGCTGATTTATGGCAGCTGAAGCTGCCCCATAACTTTTGAAAATTAATTTGTCTATCGGGTGTGTCCATTAAAATATCTTCAAGATACTTGTTTGTTCTAGAATTTGATTCTTTTGATTCAGGTAATAGTTTTATATCCAAAGCTCTTGTCATAAAGCTTAATTCATTCAGGAGCTCTGAGAAGTAGCTTTTTGTCAAGGAGCATGCTCTTATAATCTTGTCACAAAAGTGGATTTTCATGTGGATTTGTTTTCAAGATTTATTTATTTTTTAAATAAACCCGTTAGAAATATAAAGCCTCTTTGGAAGTGTTAAGCTATTGCCTGTTGGGACTCTGACAGAGTTATTTGATTTTTTTTTCCTTTGGTCTGAGTCAATAAAGTTTATTTCTTTTCCAAATCTCAGACCAAAACTGAAGGATCACTTCCTTTGTGCTTATCAAACAATGAGGATGAACAGCTACAGAAAATGTTAACAAATAACAGCTGTTTTGTATTATTTTATTGCTCTTCTGTTAAGCGGATGTGGCAAAAGCACAACATCTCATTTCTATCATATATATGTCAGAAATTAGCCAAGATCGTTTTATAAACTGCTGTGGGATTTACAAAAGTACATTTGATTTTTTTTTAAAGTAGGGTCCAAATACTGAAATCAAAACAGCTTGTAAAAACATGGCCTGCTTTTCCTCCCAGATCAGTAGAACTCATGCCTTACAATGCTGCAAGTGAAGGAAGGATGAGGGCCATAGTTTTAAGTTTAGGGTAAATGTCTGGGGGATGGGAATGTTATAATTGAGGGGATAGGTAATGAGGAAGTGGAGCTTATCATTTATAGGTTTGTGTTTCAAATATGACTCAGTAAGTGACTCGGACTATTTATTTGATGGCTGTGGAACAGTCTACGTGATTGGCTTTGGACCATTTCCTAGTGGATGGGTGTCCACCTCATAAAAACAAACAAGCAAAAACGCCATTGCATGAGACCTTAAATAATGATCATTGCTAGTTTTAGAAGGGCAGCTAAAGACTGAACAGTCATGGAAACATGGAAAAGAAGCCCTTGAGGAATTCCATCATGATTTCAACAATTTCCATCCCATCATCAACCTCAGCCTGGACCAGTCCACACAAGAGATCCACTTCCTGGACACTACAGTACTAATAAACGATGGCCACATAAACACCACCCTATACCGAAAACCTACTGACCGCTATACTTACCTACATGCCTCTAGCTTTCATACAGACCACATCACATGATCCATTGTCTACAGCCAACCTCTACGATACAATCGCATTTGCTCCAACCCCTCAGACAGAGACGAACACCTACAGGATCTCTATCAAGCGTTCTTACAACTACAATACCCACCTGCTGAAGTGAAAAAACAGATTGACAGAGCCAGACGAGTACCCAGAAGTCACCTACTACAGGACAGGCCCAACAAAGAAAGTAACAGAATGCCACTAGCCATCACCTTCAGTCAGCCCCCAACTAATACCTCTCCAGCGCATCATCAAGGATCTACAACCTATCCTGAAGGACGATCCCTCACTCTCACAGATCTTGGGAGACAGGCCAGTCCTTGCTTACAGACAGACCCCAAACCTGAAGCAAATACTCACCAGCAACCACACAACAAAAACACTAACTCAGGAACCTATTCTTGCAACAAAGCCCATTGCCAACTCTCTCCACATATCTATTCAGGGGATACCATCATAGGACCTAATCACATCAGCCACACTATCAGAGGCTCGTTCACCTGCACATCTACCAATGTGATATATGCATCATGTGCCAGGAATGCCCCTCTGCCATGTACATTGGCCAAACCGGACAGTCTCTCCGTAAAAGAATAAATGGACACAAATCAGACGTCAAGAATTATAACATTCAAAAACCAGTTGGAGAACACTTCAATCTCCCTGGCCACTCGATTACAGACCTAAAAGTCACAATATTACAACAAAAAAACTTCAAAAACAGACTCCAACAAGAGACTGCTGAATTGGAATTAATTTGCAAATTGGACACCATTAAATTAGGTTTGAACAAAGATTGGGAGTGGATTGGCCATAACATAAAGTAAAACTTTTTCCCCATGCTTATTCTCCCCTTCCCTTCCCCCCCCCCCCCCCCCCCAACACACACACAGTTCCTCATATCTCCTTGTCAATTGCTGGAAATGGGCCATTTTCATTACCACTACAAACAGTTTTTTGCTCTCCTGCTGATAAAAGCTCACCTCTAACTGATCACTCTCCTTATAGTGTGTATAGTAACACCCATTGTTTCATGTTCTGTGTGTGTGTGTATATATATCTTCCTACTGTATTTTCCACTACATGCATCCGATGAAGTAGGCTGTAACCCACAAAAGCTTATGCTCAAATAAATTTGTTAGTCTCTAAGGTGCCACAAGTACTCCTGTTCTTTTCATGGAAGCTGAACAGTCATGGAAACTGAACTACTGTCATCCCCAGCAGTGCCTTCAGAACAAAGCCAAGGAACATTTTGTGAAACATTTTAGGCCAGGTCTACACTACAAAGGTTTGTTTCTTTGATTGTAGCTATGTCAGTGGTGTGAAAAAACCATACCCCCCCAGCCAACATAGAAGACCCTGTGTAGACACAATTATTCTGGCAGAAGAGTGCTTCTATCAGCTTAGCTAATTTGTCTGGGGAAGTGGTTTAGCTCCACTGATAAGAAACGTCTCCTGTTGGCATATGTTGTCTCTTCACTAAGGAGCTCTGCTAGTATAGCTGAACCAGCTATAGTATTTGTAGTATAGGTAAAGGGTTAGAGAAGATTGCATTGCTGCTGCCCATGCTGTATTTGTTTTGTGTTGTGAATAAAGGACTTCAGTGTCCTGGTTGCTCAAAACCTCCTTCACCAAAAAAGGACACTCCACCAGAGAAGTAGATTGCATCATGGAATAGGCCACCCAAATACCCTGAGAACCTGCTTCAATCTGGCAATAAAACTCCTTCTGACTGTGCACCCTTAGTTGTTACTTACCCTGTATAGGTTGCAGTGTGGAGTGGTATCATTAAGAATGTGGTTGTAACTGTTTAAAGAAATCTTTCTTGAACCCCTTCTTCTGACCTTCAAACAGCCCCCCAGCCTTTTCAGGCTCATCCTCAGAAGCAAGCTTCCCACAGACCAGGACACACCTGCACTCAAAGCTGCAGCAGACCCTGACAGAACAATGGATACAAAACCTGCAGACATTTCTCCACTGCTACAATGATCAACAACCCACTTCTCTGCAAAGACATATCTTCGTGGCTCCTAAGTATGCTTATCACAACATGTGGTATCCCCACTAAAGGCCCTAGTAACAACTAAATGGGCGAAACCAGTCAATCACTACGCTCTTGAATGAACTCTCTCACAGAAAAAATAAGACAAACACTATATCACCTCTGGGTGAGCACTTTTCACAAAATGATCACTCCATACCTGACCTCACAGTCTTCATCCTCAAAAGGTAACCTGCACAACACCTTCAAAAGATGACCCTGGGAGTTTAAATTCATAACTTTGCTAGACATTAAAAATCATGGACTGAATAGAGACACTGGATTTACGGCTTATGACAACAGTCTATAACCCACTAACAAACCTGCCCCCTCCCCAACTGCCCCTTTTTTTCCCCCTTTTATCCCTTCCTTTCCCTATGACAGAAGGGGTGTTAATGGGCCACTTCACTTCAAATAGGTGTTAACTACTTGTGCTAAATTGGGTCGGCAACCTATGGCACGCGTGTCAAAGACGGCACGCGAGCTGATTTTTAATGGCACGCAGCGTGCCATTAAAAATGCCGCCTGGTCCGCTCTTCTCTGGCCCCCCCCCCGCCACCCCTGCCTGCAGGGGCAGAGGGCAGAAGCTTGCTCCTGCCGGCTCCCCTACCTTTTCCCGTAGTGTGCTGGGTTCCTGCCCCTCCTCCTTCTCTCCATCTCTTTCTCCCTGCCGGCCGATCAACCGATGGCCCTTACGAGGGAGGGGGTCAGGAAGGAGCAAAGTCATCGTGCTCGCTGCTCCTGGCGGAGGCAGAGAAGAAGCAGGGACAGGGCTTTGGGGAAGGGGGGGGTGGAAGAGGGGCATATTTCCCCCAGCCCTGACCCCCCCACACATACCTCCCAGCCCTGAGCCCCGCAACCTACACACACCCCAGACCCCTCCCTGAGCCTTGCCCCCACCCACACACACACACCCAGCCCTCTGCCTTGAGCCCCGCAGCCCTGCACACCCCCCAGGCCCGTGCCCTGAGCCCTGCGCCCAACACCCCGCCAGGCCCCTGCCCTGAGCCCTGTACCCCCCTTATACACACCCAGACCTCTGCTTGACTCCTTCACCCCCTCCCCCACACATACCCAGCCTCCCTCACCCCATGCCCTGACACCTGCACCCCCTCACATGCCCCCAGCCCTCTGCTCTGACTCTTGCACCCCCCCCATACCTAGCCCCCCCATGCACCGCCCACATCCCCACCCCCACCCTGAGCACCAAACAGGAGCTCCTGCACCCCGCCCCCCACATTCCCACCTGCACCCCTTGCACCAAATGGGAGCTGCCCAGGTAAGTACCCCACACCCAAACCTCCTGCCCCAACCCTGAGCCCACTCCCTCATTCTAGCTCCTGGCCAGACTCTACACCCCAACCCCCAGCCTGCTCCTTCACCCACAGCCCTGTGCTCAGTGCACTCCCACCCTCAGTTCAGTGCAGAGAGAGGAAGAGAATGGGCCAGAACCAGGGAGAAGGTAGGTACCCACTGTATGTGGGCCGGGCCGGGACCCCAGAGCAGCAGCGGGCTGAGCGGGTCTGGCAGCCAGGATCCGAGCCGGTGGATGGAACTAGGGTTACCATTCGTCCAGATTTTCCCGGAGATGTCCGGCTTTTTGTGCTAAAAATAGCGTCCGGGGGGAAATTTGTAAATAGCTAAAAATATCCGGGATTTCCCCCCCCCCCCACTGCAGAGCGAGGCGCGGCTGGGAGGGCTGCAGGAAATTCAGCCGCTTGCATGGGGCTCCGGCAGCCAGAGCCCTTCCCCCGCAGCTTCAGATCATTGGCCAGGCTGGACTCCAGCAGCTGTATAGCTATACCTCCCCCTCCCCCCCCACCCCCCCCCTCCGACACCCTACCAGACC